TTCAGCAATCTCTTTGCTGGTGTAGAGGAATCCAACTGATTTTTGGATGTTGATCTTCTATCCTGCCACAATGCTAAATCTCTCAATTAGTTCCAGTAGAGTTTTGACTGAGTTTCTTGGGTTTTCTAGGTATAGGATCATATCATCAGCAAATAGGGATAGTTTGACTTCTTCCTTACCAATTTGGATGAAAGAAATTCTTTTTGCATTCTTGTTATGCAGCTCTGATGCCCGCAGATTCTTCCAACTTTTAGTTGTCTGAAAATGAATTAATTTAAGCCTCTTTTTTGAAGAATAATCTCACTAAGCATGTATTTCTAGATCAACAGATTTTTTTTTTTTTTTTTTAAAGCACTTTAAAGATGCTGTTCAATGACAATCTGGTCTGCAGTCATTCTCATCAGAAGTCAAACATAATTCATAACACTGCTGTTGTGAATATAATTTGTCTTTCTTCCTCCAGCTATACTCAAGATTTCATCTTTATCTTTGGTTTCTATGATGTCCAGATGTGGATTTCTTTGTACTGGTCCAGCTTGGAGTTTGCTCAGGAACCTGTATTCCTCTCAAGCTACCATCTTCCTGGAAGGCCCAGCTGCCAGGCTTTTCTTCTGAGCCACTTTTAGGAAGATTTGAACTCTTAACTTCTCAGTTAGTACTAACTAAGTGCTTAACCATGTGTACAATTTATTTTTTTCAATTGTTCATATTATATTGTCAGTCCAGGTGGGACACAGCAACAAGCAGAGAAATGGCTAAAAGTGGAAACAGATGAGAGGAGGGATAAGCAAAAGCCTTCTCTAAATACCCACCATTTGGACAGTAAGTTTGGCTTTGCCTCATTAATGGAGTGCAAGTGAGGTTAACGGGGGAGATGATTGAAAATTAGAGAAAAAATTATTTTAGCTATTTTTTTTTAGGTGTTATTCTCTTTATATTTATTTATTTATTTATTTTCTGTTTTTATTTATTTCATTTTTTTCTGCAGTTTTCCCTCCCCTCCCCTCCCCCCACTCCTGGTAACCAACAAAGACAGTTTCCTTCTATATATAAACCTTTCCTTGACTTTTTACAGTAATGGACTAATACAATATTTTTCCTTCCATGATTGACTTATTTCACTCAGCCTAATGTCCTCCAAATTCATTCACATTATGTGGTGTTTTGCAAATTCTACATTATTCTTTAGGGTTGCATAGTATTCCATTGTGTGTATGTACCATAATTTGGTTATCCGCTCTTCTGTTGATGGGCACCTAGGTTGCTTCCGTCTTTTTGCTATTGTAAATAGTGCTGTGATGAACATGGATGTGCATATATCTGTTCTTGTCCTAGCTCTCACTTGTTTAGGATATATACCTACTAATGGGATTGCTGGATCAAATGGTATTCTAATTCCAACTTTTTAATTGCCATACTGCTTTCCATAGCGGTTGTATCATTTTACAGTCCCACCAGCAGTGTACAAGAGTTCCAATCTCTCTACATCCTTGCTAGCATTTATTATTTTCTGTCTTGTTGAACTTTGCTATTGGTGCTGGGGCAAGATGGTATCTCATTGTTGTGAATCACGGGTACACTTTAAATATGTGTACACCACCCAGAGGCAACTTGAAAGAAAGGTCTAGTGATCTATTTCTGAAAAACCAGCCACTAAGAACCCTATGGAGCACAGTTCTACTCTGACACACATGAGGTCGCCAAGAGTTGGAACTGACTTGACAGCAACTGTTTTTTTTCATACCAAGTCTGTGAAATCCAGTGTGTATTTTACACAGAGTGGCACATCTCAACTCAAGTCACTAGTTTTCTTCGGAAATTCTTGATCTGAATTTAGATTTCATAAACCTTACAGTAAAAAATGTAGATCAGTATACCCAACTTGTCCCAAACATATCTAAGTTTCCCATTAATTGAGTCAAGTACCTTCTGAATTATTGAAAATTAATTAAAAATTTAAAATTCAGTTCTTTGTCTACTAGCTACATTTCAGGCGTTCCTTAGCCACACAGGGCTCCTGGCGTGGGTCTAGATTTGCCTTTTCATTTTAGAGCTGTGACAACTGACGCCTAGAGTAGTTAACTAGTGGCAAAGTTGAGACTCAGGCTAGATCAGGGACCACAGCACTTACAATTCCTCTCACCATGTCCTAAGGCCTCACAAGGCCCTGCCAACCCTCTTGTCACAGTAGTCAGAACACAGAGAGTTCACATTTACCACCTGCACAGTTGCTTCACAAGGCCCAAAGGAAAGCAGACCCTGAACTGCCAGACTGAAGGAGAGCAGCAAAGAAATGGAATACAACTGAGCTGGACAGTTTTTCTTAGTTTCATGAAGAATGCCTGGATTCAGGGTGATTCGATTAAATAATATGTATGTGGTGTGTTTATATACACTGTATCTCTCTCTCTCTCTCTTTCTCTCTATATATACACACACAGGGGCAGTGGTGGTTCAGTGGTAGAGTCCTCACCTTCCATGTTGGAGCCTGAGGTTCAATTCCTGGCCAGTGCACCTCAGACACAGCCACCACCCATCTGTTAGCAAAGGCTTATGTGTAACTATGATGCTAAGAAGGTTTCAGTGTCAGCTCCAGACTAAGGAGGACAAGGCTGTGAAAGGCCTGGCAATGTACTTCTGAAAATCAGCCAGTGACAACCCTGTGGGTCATAATGGTCTGATCCACGACTGATCATGGGTCGGCACAGGATTGGGCAGTGTTTCATTTCATTTCACTGTGCATGGGGGCACCATGAGTTGGGGGTTGATTTGACATAGTTAACAACATATTACTGTATATATATTATATTGTATAATACATAGACAGTAATGTGTATGTATATATGCACACACATATATATATTTAACATATTCATAATGAGAGCATGAATTCTTCTGTATATAAAAGCTACCAATGTATATTTACTCAATATTATTTTTAAAAGAAAAATTCCTTTAAGGAAATATATTTAGGCAAAAAGATGAAACTAACAATTACTCAAATACTAATAACACTTCCCATCATCACATTATAGAAAGAGAACCGCGCAAGACCATAGGGAAGGACAAGATGGCATTTCTCAGCCAAGCATCTTGACTTCAGGAATAGGGGCCTTACCTTGTAGTGTTCTGATGAGCCTCTCCCCAGTGGTGATGTTATTCACTAAAACTGCCTGCAGGGGAGACAAACACAAAATGAAACACCCACAGCCCAACAACTGAAAAGAAACTTGAGAAGATACACATGTTGGGGGAAAAAAATGGGAAAAGCGCTTATCTCTTTCGGGAAGGAGCAGCCCCTCCCTTTCACAGCCACCCTCCCAGGAGCTGCATTCAGCTCTCTGGCTGAGCTATCAAGTGTCTATGTCTGCAAAAGAGGCAGCATGCTGGGAGATACGCTTCACAACCACCAGCCTGTAAGTGAGCAAAGAGGAACCCAGATCTATTTCAGCTCCAGGACACCGCCTCCCCCAAGAAAGGCCCCAGCCGGCATGGCTTCTCATCCCTCCCCAGCTCAAACAAGTTTCCAGAACGGCTCCATTGTCAACCTCCCTTGCCATATGCTCTCTGGATGGGCCCAGGAATAGTCACATCCTCAACCAGAAGTCAAACTCTGAATTCCAGGCTAGTTCAAGAAAAAAAAAAAACAAACAAACTCATTTTGCCTGCTGGCTTCACCTCCTCCCTCCACAGACTGGAAGCTTGAAGGATGGTGGTGTTATGGACTGAACTTGTCCCCGAAAAAGACACATTCAAGTCCTAAGCTCTGGTGCCTTTGAATGTGACACTGTTTGGAAATAGGTCTCAGGAAATGTTACCAGTTAATATGAGGTCATACTGGAGTAGGGTGGATCTTAATCCAATATGAGTGGTATTCTTATAAAAGAGAACAGACACGGAGGGAAGTGTGACGATGGAGAAAGAAACTGGAACACCAAGGACTGTGGATCATCACCAGAAGCTAGGAGAGAGGCATGAACAGATTCCTTCAAAGCCCTCAAAAGGAATCAACAAGGTCCATTTCCTGATCTCAGCCTCTCAGCCTCCAGAACTGTGAGACAATAAATGTCTGTTTTAATAAGCTCCCAGTTTGTGGTACTTTGTTACAGCAGCCCTGTAAACCTACTACAGAGGGTATAACACACTGATCATTACATAGGGTGAGAAAGTCAACAATAAAGAAGGAGGGAAGAAGCAACACTTGAATCGAGATAAGAACACAAGGTGAAAAGTAGTAACACTGATGGTTAAGTGTAACAATCAGCTAACATGTACTGAAGAGTGATTTTATGTGTCATTCTAAGCATAACAGCCAGTATGAAATGGGCAGTGTATGATCTTTGTTAGGGAAAAGGAAACTGAGGCACAGATCACTTCAGTGGCTCAAAGTCATGTGGCCATTAGGAAGCAAAGCCAAGTCTCAAGCCTCACAGGTACCTGCACTTCATCACTGCTTGCCAAATTAGGAACCAAAACCTGAGTAGACCATCAATTTAGTGGACTCCACCTAGTGCTAAAATAAACAAAAACCTGGGAAAAAAGAGAATACAGTATTAAATATCTGGGTGAATCACACAAGCAAGTGCTGTTTTGTGAGCACACATACAGCTTAGATGTGTACAAAGCTATAATGTGAGTGTTTTACTGTGTCCCAGGCAGCAAAATCTGCCAAATACTCCATCAGTTGGCCTGCTTTCCCATTCCTGGCCAGTAGGCACAGTGCCAACCACACCACCTCCCTTTCTGTGCCTCTGCTTTCCCCTCTGACCTCTCTTTCCAGCTCTTTCTTTGGGTGGGACAGAGATAAGGTTTATTAGAAGCAACAGTTTCCTGGAATAAGGTATTTTATGAATACAAGGATGTACTCCAAGGAAAAAATCCAGTCAAAATGAACCACAGGTGTTTATTCAAGGCGGTCCAAGAACACAGAACATTTCCTGGCACCAGAGGAAAGAAGTCCTGGTAATAATATCTGTAAAATTAATCTCTTTGGGAGAGATTATCAGGAGCAGAGTGTAAGTATTCTGAGTGCAGAGGAGGGTAGAGAACTGGAAGTGAAAGGAGGACTGCCATAGACACAGTGAGAAATCAGATTTACACAGCTCAGAACTCCTGCTATGCAGGAAAGAAGTTCAATTATAAAGACCAAAGATGACAGGTAGCATCATGGATTGAGTTGTGTCCTCAAAATTTGGAAGACAGCTAGCTACCTGGCCAGCTGACTGGAAGAGATCCATATTTATGGCAATCTTAAAGAAACATAATTCAACAGTATGCACAAATTATCAAACAATATCATTAATATCACTCACAAGTAGTTTTAATTTAAAATGATTACAGCAGTACATCAATAGGGAACTTCCAGAAATTCAGGAGAGGATATGGAACAGGGGATATAACTGCTGATGTTAGATGGATCTTGGCTAAAGGTTGAGAATAACAGAAAGATGTTTACCAGTGTTTTATTGCCTATGCAAAGGCATACAACTATGTGAATTGTAACAACTTACGGATAACACTGTGAGGAATGGGAATTCTAGAACACTTACTTAGCTGTGCTCATGTGGAACCTGTACA